GATATCGGTTAATCATAGCAATGTTAATAATAAATTTATTACTATTACATCTAAGTGGGAACAGTTCAATTGGGCTCCAAACTATCAATAAGCATAAGTTGGCAGCCACTCGAACAATGAAAGAAACTCGATCCTTTCCATAGTAAATAGTAAACTGTAATTACGAAAAACTCATTTATTGCCACTAAAAGTAACGACTTTGGTCATTTTTCTATTCTAAAATTATAATCGCACAAGGTCGCACGCTTCCATAATACCAGCCAGTCTTTTCAGTCGGTAATTTCAAGAAATCTCCTTTGTATTCTTGATGATTGAAACAGAAATAGAAACTTCTGAATGGATGGATATTTAAACGGTTGAAGCTCGCATATGGAAAGTATAGACATTTATCAGCGATGGTTGATGTGAAATTGCACAACACAAGTGCTAATATTATCGATGCATGTTGATAAAGCGTCAATTGTTTGTTTTTTCAACACTTTTACAGATAACTTGACATTTGTTTGGATAACGTCTTCCTTAAGAAGTAAGAGTAAATAATATATGAACGCGGCCAAAAGGAGTCGCGAGTAAATAAACGATAGAGCCAAGTGAGGCCAAACTTAAGAAAGGTAAAATTGTAATCAGGTAATGTTGAAAAACAAAATTATAAGTTTATTTAAATTCGACATCAATCCTTTTTTATACATTTATGGGGTTTACCGACAGGTGTTTAGTAGATAAATGTATTTTTTTATTCACTAACATTCGAATTTCCGTGTATTTTATACTCGTTGTTTCTTCAAGTAATTCTTAACAATTTTGTTGATGTGACTTACCAAACAATTATTAATTATTGCAATTGGGAATCACAATTCCCTTTTACGTAAGTTTAAAAATTGATTACCTTTACCTACCTAAAGATGAACAATTGTCTTCAGAATTTACAGTTTATACTACTATATACTACCACAAAAATCTGCTTTTACATAGCAAATACATATAATCAATTTCAGACAAAATAAATCAAACCTAAGTTACTGATAATTACTGATTGTTTCATAACTTTAACTACTAAAGAAATTGTTTTATGTTCGTGTCCTAGAAAGCCGCCGTGGAATGAGAAAAAATGGTTCTTGCTTTAAAAAGGTTCATTTGTTACTAAGTATTTATGAATAGGTTCATAGTTAGTGAAAATTATGCATTTTACAGGATTTTTAAGTTTCTGTTTAACAAATCGGATCAATCTTTTTAAAACAATGTGGCAGAAAATGAAATATCTTGTTCCTACCACATTTTCCCAGCCATCACGCCAAGGAAATTTAGATTGGGTTCTTCCAATGGCCAATTTCCAAAAAATTGTTTATAAAATACTCAAAACTCAAGCCGAATTAAATGTGAAACTTTTGCCTAAATATAAGTAACAAGTGCATTTAGATGCATGGGTCTGGCATAATGACAAACTGAACTTCACTTTCTTTCAATTTTCATGTTCTATACTTCCAGGTGTAAAGGTAGAAATTTCCAGCGCATTTAGAGTGCAATTTTTTTGTGACTGTTACTGATTTTGTATCTACAGATCTTCAAATACTGGCAGATTTCTCTGTACTCTTGCAGATTATAAGATTTTCAAACAGTTGCGAAGAGCACTCAGCAAAAGTAATTGGATTTTTCTCGATTTTAATCTGTTACTGTTATGTGGGTATTTGCCTCTCATCCATTTGTTTTAAATCCTCAGTATGGTCGAAAAATCGTCATTTTTATTGGAACCAGTGTATCTGACTGCAGATTTTACTTTCCTATGGGATTTTTCATTTTTGAGGTTTCAGTCAAGTTATTGTTGCCCAAGGATTTTCCAGAAGAAAACCTCTAAATCCCGCTTTATCTCCTTGATCCATCACACATAGCAAAAATAGTAGAAGTTTTTATAGTGGGATTATTTGATATCGGATGCTCAGAAGAACTTGATCTTTTATCGCTTTCAAGCGTTTGTTTTGTTTCACATCACTTTTGTTCCAAGCAAAATTCTATTCGTCGTTATCTATATTATTGGATCGATCAGCATCCCGAACCCCATTTAGTTCCTAATTACGTTGCTTTAAACCATTATTTTTAAATTTACTGATCCTTTAAATCATAGATTTAAAAATTGCATGCAATCTAAATTTCCGACGTTTTTATTCAATTGGATTTATTCAAACGACTACTCTCAATGCGTTTTTATAAGTAAATCTCACCATTAACTTCCACCAGCTCCCAGCAAATACCTAAAGCATGTTGTGAAAAAGCTAATCTGGCTTTGCATCAGATTTCTGTTGGTTATTTAAAGCACAGAAAGGCAGTCGATAAAAGCGATATATCTTGGAAAGTCAAATATACACTTGCACTAATTAAATTAGAATGCTTTGAAGGCACGATGTGGCTTAAATTTCAATAGTAAACATTGTTTTTAATGGTAGTAAATTGCAAATCGGATAATTCATTATTACATAGGTCAAGCAAGAAACAGCTCTAGTCATTAAGAACGCGGCCGAAAAAATGGAAGGTGCGAAAGCGCTATTAAAATTTTATTGCTGAAAAAATTAGCGGTCGTCCTTGTCTGGAATTACAAAACAGTGTCATCAACCTGTTTTTTTTTTCGTGTTGGTCAGAGGAATTTTATGATCTCGATTCGTCGAAAAATATTTACAGCATATTGAGACAAATCGCGTATTAAGCATTTTTGAAAGTAGGTATAGTAAGGGAAACTATAACACCACATAATCTAGGTCATGGAAAAATTACTAAATGCGAATCTTTGTTCAGTAAGGCAACTCTTCCATTTATTTTTAAATCGAAAATTCCCACTTTATCTGCCAGCATATTCTTCTTCATGTTTATCATCGAAGCACTTGCGGAGAAAGCTGACAATCGTATTTTCTTTGTTTCTACATCGTGGCCTGCTGGAAGTGGCGTTTCTGCCTCTTTCGCGCAGCCACACTGTCTGGTGAGTCCTCTCTGCACTTAAAGTGAGTACTAGCGCAGTACTCTAATAACGTTTATCGTTAAGGGTGGCTTCAGTCTGTTTTACTGTTAATATTCTCCGGTTCAGTCCTTCGGATCCAATAACGATACCTGAAGTAACTGTCAAGGTGTTTGTTAACTATGCTTGCACGAAAAGATCACTTTGAGTGAATAGGAACGATGACAAAACTCGCCTCATCTGCTAAAAACTCAAGTAGAATATTTATCGAGGCCAACAGAGTTTGAACATTTAAACATCTGGTCAAACTTAAACGGGCCGCTGTTTATTTTTTCAAGATATTTAAGCAGCGCTAACTGATACTGCTTTACAGCCAGCAATACGGTTACAGAACAACTTTTTAAGTTTCTGATTACTTTAAACAAATAACTTTTATTTTCGGGCTATTTCGGGCTTATAACAGACGATTTTTTCCAACAAGATTTATTAATGTTTACTCGCCTTTAATTGGGTAATCCTGATTCTGTTAGGAAATGTGGCCAATCTTGACCTCTACTTAACCTCCTTGGAATAATAAAAAACCACTTTAATCCAGGTGTTGCCGAGAATTAATATAGTTTGATGTTATGGGTTGACAATGAACAATCTTGAAGTATGGTAATTTTATTTGAGTTCGATTCTGGAAAACCAATTCAGATTGAGGAGCAGAGACAGTAAGGCTTAAATAGTTTTTGTTCTTCAGGTAGTGAAACTTTGCCTTTAAGATTCGATTGAAGAGGGACACCTAAATATGATCAAGATAACAAGGTAAATTAGGTATACTGAAAACCATCAAACAATCAAAGAAATGAAAATTGCAAAATTTCTTCACCAGATGTATCACTTCAAGGTTGTTTTTGAAAACTTCATCGACATAGATCTGCTAGAAATCGTATTAAACAAAAATAATTAAAATTGGACATTAGAAAATGACTGAATAGCATTAGTTGGAACACGTTTGGTTAGTTTCAACCACTTCAGACACAACACAGAAACACTTCTGAAAACATCTTACCTGAAGATTTCTGTTTGAAAGCAGTCTGACTGTATGTTAGTTTAGTGTTAAAGCGAAGAACCAGCGATAATAGTTTTAGGAAACGGTTCCAAATTATGTTGTGGTGCAATTCGCATTTGAGAGATAGCGAAAAAGTTTGCAACAACATGATCGAGTGCGAGTCTCAACATGTGTTAAAAATGTTTTCAAAGTTCTGCAATTTGTTTGCGGCTCCCATTAGCTGTATCAACCAAAAACAAACACGCTTGCATAACACACGGCAGGCGTTAATAATTCAACAATTACAACCAATACTTTTAAGTAGGCAAAGGAAATTTACTGAGAGCATTCCGATACTTTCTCTGAAATGATCGAATTCTTGTTGAACTTAAAATCTACACGGATTTGTCGTGCCTTGACTACCTGGTGCAAGGAAATTGTGTGGTTTGGGTGAAGTGGTGAACAGATCGGAGCTAAGTAATAGAGCTTTGAGAAAGCGATTCTCTAGCGATGTTGTTGTGCTTGTGCTATTGGTGGATATGTGATCTTCATTGACGAAGAATGTAAACCTGCAAGTTCTCCTGTAACGACCACTATCTACGTCGTTTGATACAGAAAGGCCATAAATAAATCAGGTGACGTAGTATCTACACGAGATACAAACATAATAATGTTGAAATTGAAATATACAGCTAAGCGAAGACCGGTTCGCCCGGTATCCTTTTCAGCCTAGTCGCCTGGTGTACACGCAGCACCTCGTTTTAATGAACACGCTTGGTATTTGGTATTCAGATTTGATGCAAATACAGCATTCTTCGGATCCGTTTTTATTGCCCTGCGTTTTTCATTATACCAGATACGTTTCGAAACCTCTGAATTGTTTAATCATCTCAGAATATTCAATCGGTCCTTCGGACAACATCTGCCAACCCTGAACATTCACCACTCAGCTTTGTGGTGTTTCAGCGCGCAACAATGCAGACCGTATGCAAACGAAGTAAATTCCAATAGCAATTTGCTACTTACCGCTTGATGAAGGTGCGAAGACGATTCCTTCTAGTCCACTAGTGATCAGCAATCCTTATTACTACGGCCATGAAGGTGAAGTTTCACCTGCATAGAAGAAGAAACAGTGTTTCAGTAAGGCGTTATTATGTACAAAATGAATTGCTCCAAAAGAAGTAAATCTTATTTGCATATTCGATGAAAATATAGGATTATTTCAAAGTGGTTAATACCTACACGAGTCAAGTAGCAAGAAAAGTTCTTAAATAAATTTAGCAGACAATCTAAAATTATTCGGTGAATTAGACAGGTTCCTTTTATTGGCCGCTCAAAGATTGTATAAATATTTATCATTCCCGGTTCTTTAAATAGCACGTTGGATAAATTTGGATAAATTATACAATGTATTACAATCAGTCAACACATCATATGTTACTGGGATCGGAACCTTTTGCGCTCTACACGCCCTGTAACTTGCCGCTCCGATATGGTTGCAATAATAGGATAATAACAATTAACACCAGAATGCAAAAAGTTTATGATTTCCATTTATTTACCGGTAATTAATAATGCTCAGATTTAATGCCTTGAACTTTACTCCGTAAGAAGGCAGGCGGGCAGTCGTTTATAAACAATGACAACAAACATTTAAACTGCGGCATATTGTTAGTTTTATTGCTCAATATCGTTTCCTCATGTGAATATTTTACCTGCAGCTTTAGTTTACAACGAATATAAATGCATTTCTATATTTTAGCGTGGCGGACTACTATTTGTTAATTGGTTAACTCTCTTGCTTTCGTTATTAGCTAACCTTCCTTATAATATGGTATCAATGTTTTCTACCCGGGCTTCAGGTAATCGCGATTTGAACATGGAAAACGGTAGAAAATGAGTATGTTCGATTAGATTAAATCTTGAAATACACCAAGCTTGAATACAACAGTCCAGTTCCGATTAGCCATAAACACAACTATTTCCGTTCCGACTCTTTTGAAACCTGATCCCAACGTTAATAAATCAGATTGTTACTAAGTACTCATGCGATGAAACTTTATTGCGTCCCACGCTTGTATCATCTTCTCAAGTGGTTCTGTAGAGTATGATACTAAACAATTAATACATTTAAAAAAATGTAGCCAAACTAACCCAGGAAACATAACCAGAGCTACGAAAAACGACACCTAGACGAAAACTTTGCAAACGTTTTTTGGTATTCGTTTTTTATATTGAGCCATTTCGTTTGAAACTTAATTTGAGCTCAAATTATAGGTTTTGTGAAATAATAAGTAAAAATATCAAGTTCGAGAGTTATCCATGTGTGTATTACACTTTTGAAGATTTTAGTATTATAAAATGTATAGTGCAGAATAGTTGCCTGTAAAAAGAGCTTTGGTGTTCTAAATGTAAAAGAGTGTTTGAATTCAGCTCGTGGAGTGACGAACCAGTAATTTTATTTCATTTGCGTCGCTTTCAATTTTTTTGTATCCAACTTCTCTGTTTACCGTGAAAGCAACAAGCCGATAAAACCGCTCGCTTAATACATATGCAATTAAAACCCTTTTAGAATTACCGACCGTAAAGAAATCATATTTGACCCATTTCAGTCCTCCAGCAACCAATCAGGTATGCTACTTCGAGATCAATAAAAAGAAGACACATAAATTAAACACTTCTTGGTAAACGATGAAATCACCAACTAATTGAATGTGTTACTCAATCAGCTGAATCATTGATTGCAAGCTTTTTCACTAATTGTGGGGTTTTGTTTCAGAGTGTCCGATAATGAATTTCAGCAACAGCTGTTGGCTGCTGGTCTTGGTGACCATTCTAGAGTGTTGCTGCTCAGCGACAGCTATTCCCGATAGTTACCCCCAACACATCATCGAACAAGTCGAATCATCGCTTCTGTCGCTCTTTGGACATAGACGACGACCCCAGAAGGTACTTTAATTAGCACCGTTAATTTTATGTATCGTTTTAACGCAAAATCAAAACTCCAATACGAAGTCTAAAGGACATTTACAGCACAGACTTTATCTTTTTGAACGTGAATAAATGGTAATAAATTTAGATTGGTGTCCCCGTAGCAACTACCTGCTCTTACCCAACTAAACTACATCATTATGTCAACGTGGAAGGACAGTATTATCTATTATCGTCGAATTTTTGCGAAAGCGACTTAAAAGTCTGGGGTTGATAGGATGCGCCTTTACCATACAGTGTGTCCAGCTAGGCTCAACAATGTAAAATTTCAATTTGGGACTATGTAAAACACCATTTAACTACCTGCAATAGGTCATATTTTACATCACATGTTTGGTAAAGGTTTAAGCTCCGAAACTAAGGTTCATCGACGAGATGAAAATCCGTAGATCAGATGTAAATGAAAGTCTTTATTAAGGGTCTGGTTTCACTAGTTAACTATTAAGTAGGTACTTACAAGCTACAGGCAATGGAATCAATATTTTTCAAATTTTAGTTAATTTAATAATCTCGAAAGTTAATAAGTATACATAGTTTGTTTGCTCTATATTAGTCCATATTCTGCACTAAATGAAGCAATCAGGGTGCTTGAACTGTTCGTGTTGCGTTTACTCTCATGTTAGTAAGTCCCACTTGCTGATATCGATAGTAAAGCGTATAAAATATTTTTATGCAGAATCGGCGCTGTTTCTGTGAACCTAATTTGTCCGTTCTTCTACTTTATGATTATCCTGTTTCGACCTTTTTTTCAACGAATTTCGCTTGAAGACCTTTCGCGTTACCGCATTGTGTCTCATATTTTTACGCAGTATTCGAATATTCGAAAAGCGAATAATTATGTGTAGTCATAACTCGAATAATCGAATACTTGAATACACCAACATTATCAAACTCACAAGGTGCGAATATCTTTATATGCACTTTGTATACTTTTATAAAATTAATTATTCATATTCTACAAGCATTTAAACAAATACCTATATATTTAAAAGCAAATGAAAATAATCATATTTACTCTCCTGCAAATGAATGTAAAATTACGTCGTCTGGTGATACGCGTCATCAACTTTTGCGCGGTGTTACAATTAATGTGCCGACAAAGGCACTTTTTTATCCGTTGCGGCTAGTTGCCAAAAATGATATGAGATAACACTCGAATATCTAACGAATACGAATAGAAATACTCGAATATTCGAATACTCGAATACTCGAATATTCGAATACTCGAATACTCGAATATTCGAATATTCGTTAGATATTTGAGTATTCGAATAATTTTACTATTCGAATAAACCACTGAACGAATATTCGAATATAAGATTTTAAAAAATTCCGAGCCCTAGTAACAAGTACTTCCTTTGGAGATCTTCTTTTTCATCTAATTGATTTATCTGTTACTTTGTGTTTTATGTATTAAAAATGCAAATCCTTCTTTCTTTCTTTCTTAATGTAGATTTCTCCTCCATATGACACGTTTGAATGAATTTTCACTACATATTACCTTTTCAACTCTCCCACCACGATTTTCTCATTGTTAAACGGTTTATATTTAAATAAAAGGGAATCTGCCAAATGCGTCAGATCAACAAACGTTTGAGTTCACTTAAATCGCGGGTGAAAATCTAAGGGAGTTAAAAGCTATAACTGATACACAATGATTAACATGTAACAGACACTTGATAAATAATGAAAAAAACTGTTTATCCTGTAATAACCAAAGGAAGAAAACTAGCACAAACAATATATTTTTGGTAGACTGTTCAATACCAATAAGTACTGAATTTTAATTGCAGGTTGACAGAAATAAACTGGAAATTCCCGAAGAGATGATCAGACTGTACGAGAGGCAAAACGGAATGAAGTTTGCCACATCTAACTTACCGAAACGAGCGCCTTACTTGACCAGCGCAAATACTGTGAGGAGTTTTGTCCATATCGGTACGTACTTCATTGACATAAAAGCAAAAATGTACAAACAATTTCAAGTTTTGCCTGATAATTTAACACGAACCCTCGTATCTAGCCGATCTGCGTCAGTCGATTTTTGAAGGGAAAAAGCAAGTGTTTATTAAATAATTAATACCGCAGGTTGTATAATGTGCTTAAATAAATACATGTACGTCCTACTTTCGCTGCCTGGTAGCTATCTCGTTTTTTGGAACTACCACAGTGGCGTCATCAATGAAAATTTGCTTCAGTTATTATAATGATGAAAAAAAACGGGATCAAAGATATAAATAATATTTAAATCAAATCCGATTCAAAGCTTTGAGAGGATTGAAACTCCAGATTTAAAAAATTGACACATAATTTGACAAAAATATTGCGGTTTCTACGTTCAAGACTCATATTTGGAAAATTCCTGAACATTAGAACATTACGCACTACATTTCTATTTTTTTGAATACATCAATTTTAACCCACGTGTCATCCTCAGAAGCAATGAGAGAACCGGTAATCAGAAGCCGCTAATAACATTTTATGAGTTGTGCTTATGTGCGTACTCAATTTAACGACAGGAAACCCTTTTCAATTACGCCACTGGCTGCTTAGGAAGCTTAATATTTTTTACAAAGAGTACCAAGCTGAAGATTTTGCTGAAATGTCGAGGAAATTATCATAGATTATTAGAATATTAGATATCTTGAATAAAATGAACGTTTCTAAACGATTGCTTAACGTTCGCTATTGCAGGAAAAAAAGTGCTGAATTAATCCAATTGTTTGAAATTCCAATGCTCTTCACAAATTATTCCTGTTAGCACCCGATGTACTTTTCGCGCTTAGTGTAAATTTGTTCTCTTTGGTTATAAATTAACTTATTCTATTTTTTTCCTTCGAGTAAACTCTTGAACATGTTCTTTAAGTTAAGGATTGATTCCCAGAGACCCTTTTGCGTTCGAATGCTTTTCAACACAATGCCTCATTTATTCCTCTTTCTGACCGAATTCAAAGATATTCTGAAGATTTACCATAAAACCAATTTCCGGTTTTTTTATTTCCTTTCTCCGTGTTTTAGATATTTTCTTCCTTGATCACCGAGCGGTTTCTCGGCATAAAATTATTTTTTTGTTTGCCATTTGATGCATGGCTCATAATGAGTTCAAAGATTCCTGATTTTATGGCAAGTGTAATGCTATTACTCAGGCATTCTTAATGATAATGACAGAAAATCTAAAAGCTTTGGCTCATTAAATATTAATTTGAAGCTCGTAAATAGGATTTTTTTTGTTAAATGTTCTACATCATGCATAGACTAAACGTACTAATCTAATTGCCCCTGCGTCATAACGCGGACCATCTGTCGGTTTTTTGGCTGGCATTTTTTCCAATCACTGAGCAAGTAAAATCCGCATTTTCCAATCGAACGCCACTGAAATTAGGTGTTTATGATCAACACGTCCAGGCTGCAGAACCACACCCAATTTGTATCTCTTTGATCTCGCTACCAGCTGACTGGGACGGTATGTTAGTCATGACGTATTTCAAGCTTTCTTAAGAGGTCGCCAAAGATATGAGCAAGTTGAGAAAAATTGGTTCATTTGATAAATTCCACCTTGAGAAATCTTCTTCGTGTTTCATTATCTCACTAAGAAACGTTTTGACTGCGCGTGTGAGCCAATCAAAAAAAACATTCGAGCTGCAAGACTTATTTCTTTCCTGATCGTTTTGACTTCATCTTCGAAACTAAGTAGATATGAAAAAGCCCAACAATTCCACAAGTTTGTTATTTAAATCCTAAGTTTTTCATGAGTTCGCAGTCCAAACAAGTACATAAAATTCGTTCGAGTTAATTGACTCTACTATTAAAATTATTAAGTATTATTAGACAAAATTTTCGGTTTGGCTTACTTTCTGAAATACACAGTGGCGAAATTGATTTTTATTTGCAATTTTAAATTTGATTGAGTTTAAATGCCAAAGAGCAAACTCGAATGTTTCTTGTAACTATGTCATTTTTTATAAATAAAATTTATCAAAAATTGCCGTTAAATTATAAAAAATATATTTATGTTAAAGACTGTTTAAGATCGAACTGCGAGTCGCATTACACAACAGTTTCAGTTCAGTTCTCACTTTTTAATTCCGAAGCACACCGTGACATAATTGATGTTTTTAGAATAAGTACTGAAAAACGAGAAACAATTACTAAAACGAGTTGATTTTTCGAACTCCTAGATGTGTATGACAACCTATAAATGATGAAATATTCAACTATTCTACTATTTCTACGCTCATTTTACATCATTCGGCTTCAAACAAAACTACTTACTTAGAGAGAAATTAAACCGAAACCAACGATATGATTTGGGAATTAGAAATTTACTCATTTTGATCGATTATTAAAAGTTCATCTACTTGTGTGCTAATTTGCAAACAAGCTTACCGCTGGGTCTGGATATTTTAAAACCGTAACGCGTTTAAGGTGCTTCTGAGCAATTGCAAAAATCCATTATGTTAACATCAAAGCCAATCAATCTAACCGAATATTCTTCATTATTTTCAGAAAGTCCCATTGACCGACGATTTCAAACTCCATCTAAAATGCGCCTAAAGTTCGAGCCAACAATGCCAGAAAATGAAGACTTGCAACATGCTGAACTGGCTTTACACAGGATAGCGCTGCCAACAAACTCAATGAAAGACTCCTATATCAGAATAGTTGTCGAAGACATATTGAAGCCCGGCATCAAGGGCAAACATGGGCCCTTAAAGAGAGTAATCGAAAGCAAGCTGGTGAATATCACCAAAGACTCACTGTTGAAACTAGATCTTACGGAGCCAGTGCAAAGGTGGATCAAAACCCCGAAAGAAAACTATGGAGTAATAGTGACGATTCTGGGTAAAACTGAACATGTCCGAATGAAACGAGACTTAAATGAAGACGATCGAGCATGGACGAGATATCAACCGGTGCTGTTCACGTACAGCGACGATAGGAAGAACGGGGAATCAGATATCAAGGGAGTAGCTAGCATGATAACGCGGAGCAAACGAGCTGCTAGACGCGCAAGCCGAAGAAAAGACGACCATACCGATTGCATGAGACACAAAATGTACGTGAATTTCCAGGATGTGGGATGGAGCGATTGGATTGTAGCCCCGCCTGGATATGAGGCATATTATTGTCATGGGGAGTGCAGATTTCCGCTGGCTGATCATTTGAACACAACGAATCACGCCATCGTTCAGACATTGATGAACTCAATGTCCCCCATGTCGGTGCCAAAAGCTTGTTGCGTACCCACGCAACTCAATTCAATATCAATGTTGTATTTGGATGTAGATAACAAAGTCGTACTGAAAAACTACAAGGAAATGGTTGTGATCGGATGTGGGTGTCGGTAGTAACTTTTTGAGTAAAGGCCAGCGATGTAACAGCTGATTTTACTTTATTTTTGAACCCATCCTTAAGCAAAAAAAAGCAACTGTTGCATCCTGAAATAAAAACAAGCGTCTGTGATCCAATCTGTTGGACTCGGGTACGGAGAATTGTAGTGTGCGGAGTTCCAGTGATTCCCGAAAGTTTGTCCAATTATTGTCAGGACTTGGCACCTTGATTTATTTTAGACTTATATTTCTCGTCTGTGATTGTAATTTTTATTATATTTGTTGTATGTCTGTGTGTTGTTAGTCTCATATCTTATGTTATATTGAAACTGTGGAAAGTTGGTTTTTTTGTTGCAACTGATAACAGAAAGCTGCTCTACCAAGTTACCCCCCGTCACTCTGTACATATTCATTGCTTATTGACAGTATATATGAGTTTTCACTCAGGCTCTCTTAAAACAAAAAATATATTGTTTTAACTGGATGTGCCTTTAGCACAGGTGTTTTATACATACAACGATTGTCTCAACTATTTTTAAAATAATATAAAACTTTAATGTGTGGTTTTTAGATGCAGAAATTTTTTTGTAATATCGGGAAACCACGACACGCAATTTAAAAAAAATATATTATATTTAACCACTCCATATGCATTTTTCCGTAGGATCTCCACATACCAGCCAAAATCTTAATTATAAATCTAACGATCCATTATATTAGAGCGCAGGATACTAATATGAAAGAGCACCGATATTTCAGAGCGTTTTAAACCTGTACATTTTTATACATGCCACGAAACACTTGAACATTATATACCTCAAACGTCTCAAACTCGAAGGGGAATTCTGTAACGTTGTTATCAATGGTAACCAAGTAAAAAGTAGCTAGCGGATGTGACAAAACTCTTTGAATAAAACAAAACTAAACATAATTCCTTTACCTTAAAAATAAAAACAAACAGTTTAAAATTTTGAATAAAACATTGAAATTCTTAAGAGAGGCTGTGCGATCACTTGCTCGTGTTAACCAACGATGGCTGTATGCAGTCACGTGAGTGTAACTGTACACATTCGTGATCAGCGTGAACTATCACTAAATATTTTATGAAACAATAACTATTTGTTGTTTTAGATCTAATGCCTTGTACGGTTTTGTATCGAAGCTGGTCAAGTAGTGCGATTTAATGAGTTGAGACATAAATTGATTTTTCTAGTCGAAAGAAAATGGTGCGTCAGAACAAGGCTTTAGATTTGGAAACTAAAGGAGATGTAATATATAAGTACCTGCAAGGATATATTGGAAGTATTTATTTTAAATAGAGACTATTGAGATTTGTGCATATTGTACATACAACTTTAATGTAAATTATTAATTTTTAGCTTTTTTGTAAAGTGTGTAAGCTGTACAAAATGTACATAATATTAAAGCATTCTATTCATATTGGATTGTTTTCTTTGTTTGCGAGATCCTTATTCCATAAAATCACCTTTATCCTGGCGAGACAAGAACATTACTTAGAATTTAGAACTTAGATGTGAGTCAAACCTAGAAAAAGCTGGTAGAGTTTCATTCAGATGTGATACAAGGTGAGTATGAATCGAAATTTAACAGTTTTCTAAAAAACAATTTGCATTAAAGAAAATTCTTGCAAAAATATACCGACATTAAATTAAATTTGAGACAATCACTTAAAAAATTAATGAAAATATTAGTTTGAAGGAATATTTTTGACGAAAACTAATCGTTTGTAGTGACACTGTGACACTTACAAATTATGCCTAATACTAATACAGATTTAATCTTTTATGAAACTAAAACAATTTGTTAAAATTCGTATAAGGGAACTAACTAAGAAGCAAAGAAAAACGAAAAAAGCAAAAATAATACATTTTTTGAATTCCTATGTGGCTTGGGTACTTAATAAAGGAACGTTTTAAATATAAAAACACATCCAATAAAGTTGATAAAGCAACAATATTCAAGGAATAAGTGTCAGAGTTACAACTCGAATGAAGAAAGTAGAACTTAAACGCACACAATTGGTTAACAATTGATTGTAAAAGCAAATCAGAAATGTCCTTCTAATTATTTTATATTATTATCAGATGTAACTTATTCAGACATTGCAAATGTGACGAAAAGCAACTTAGTATCATTTACGAACACACTCAGATTCAAGCTACGAAAGTAGTCAATGGAATAAACTGAAATCTCTCTTATCCTACATAAAACTGAAAGGGGAACTTAAAAGATGCTATAAGAAAAAATGAATAGTACAAAAATTGGAATGCAATTGCGTATTGCAATCAGCCCTGCAACAAAGAAACAAGAGCTGGTTGAAATAATCGTCGAAAATTAATAAACCATAAGAGAACGATAAAAAGAATACAAAAGCTTTCCAAGACTACATCAAATTTTCAATTTGAACAATGAACCAATAAATAATAATGTAAAGGCATCTGCAATTGGAATTCAGTTGAAATGAGAAACTTGAAAACTATTGGAGTAAATACTGTTAAAAATTAAATGTGTCTCTGAAACCGGCCAAAATGTACACGTTTATGTGCAAACATAATTGAGGCATTTGAAGCAAATGAAAATTGCGGCTTGTCTTCAAACCTTATTTAAGAAGCTAATCATCATGAAAATTCGCATTTTCGTGGTGTCGATAAAACGAAAATTTCAATTCTAAAGTCAATCAATATTTGGATTGGAAAGTATTTGTTTTTGAAACTACTGGGCGGTCATAACATTTAATTCAACGTGTTTTTAAACTACTCCTTAACAAAACCATGCTTTGTTTTGTATAAACAATCTAGAAATTCGCCCACAAAAAAAATCCATATGATTGAGATCGGAAGGGCTTGGTGGATATTCAGTTGTTCCGCGCATGTATTAATTTTTTTCGTCAAAAAATGCATACTTAAAAGCAATAAAATACACGGACAAGTACTTTTCTGAAAGAAATTCCCAGAGTTTTAATAGAGTTTCTGCTTTCTCTATGGGGACATGGTCTATTCAAAAACATGTCTTGGAATGTGTGCAATTATAAGCAGACACCAATCCTTACTTGGCATTACTATACATATAAAAAAATACAACTTACCACACGCGGAAGAAATCGAACTAAATCGCACACATTATAATTCACCGATTTCAGGTAAACAGTTAAGTAATTCCCGCTGGAAACGGGGCAACAAATGAAACTTTTGTCCAAAATCAGCTGTGTAACAAAGAAACGCGAGTTACTTATAGTATTTTTGCTATATACTTGCTTTGTAAAATCGATTGATTATTTAAGACCAAATTAATAAATCTTCAAACTTTATTGCATATGGAATTCGAAGGCACCAGTAAAAAGATCTTTTAAATATTACAGTCTCAAATTCGCATAAAGCAAATGAAAATTACGACTCCTCTTTCAAGTTTATTTAATTAAGAAGCTGGAAAAAAACTAACCAAACGCCTGCCTTTTTCAGCTAATCCACACGGCAAATAGTTACTGTTACTATTTGGAGCTGGTTTTAAGTTTTACCACATTAGTTATACCATTGTTCAGTAATTGGCAAAGAAAACGCGTATATCGGAAGAACTTCGTACTATCCGAACGGCAATGCAAAGGGAACTAAAGAAAGATATTACCTACAAGTGATAATCACTTCAGGAATTCGACAGCAAAACAATTTTTTTGCTGGACGGCTCTTTGCGTCGAATTGTGTATATATTATTTCCTTATTTTAACGTGAACTTCAAATATAGCCATGGGTAGTTAGTTAGTCGACGACGATTTTATCAGGAATTTATTTTCCTAGTTTTCAAATTTGCAACTCATGATTAGTTTTAACAATATGTTTTTCAAATCATTTGTAATTAAATTAAACTAACTAAACAGCTAAATTAGCAAAACTAAATGTATGCGTTTTCCCAATGAAATTTGGCTGGAGGTTTTCAAGAGTTTGCCAAAATTTACAGATTTACAAAGAACATTTTTGCGGACGTTTCTTTTTATCAAATGTTTATGGAGTGTTTTGATCTTACATTACACCCAAGAGAACCATCCAAAAAAATCACAGTCTTGAATAAGTACCGTACTATTCGCTTATGTCCTAGACATTAACACGTATTTGTAAAAAAACTAATTTTCCCATGCATATCAGTGCGCCCGCAAGTTTAATTACGGCATATTACCGCTTCATTTTCCATTTATTAGCATCGACAAAGCCGTTTTTTCCAATCTAAAATAAAAATTAATAAGTTGTTTGGGAACGCTTTAAGTATGTGCTTTTAAAAGTCAATAAACCGAAGAACACAATGGGCAGGACGAGCGAGATAGAAGCACGGCATAGCGGGATTTCGCGCTTTAATTATATAAATAAGAAAAAAAAGCTCATCGTAGAGATGCCGTGATCACGTGAATGGTATTGCCTGATGAGAAGTCACATACATTGCTGCTAATTAGTTGGTACTTCGCCAACCACTAATTCCCAATCAATTTACTTTAACCGCAAAATTGCGCTCGTAAAATGTGTGCCTAATGGTAAAGTCAGCTCAGCAACTTGTTTCAGCTTTAAGCGATTACCATCTACTCGATATAACGATTGTTTTCCGACAGAATTTGTTTGTTAGTGTTGCATATGAGGTGCAATAAATTCATCCCGGTGATGTGAAGAAACTGTGCAACTTTGGACAACATTCTATATTCTGTTTACTCTGAAAAGTTTACCCAACAGTAAAAAATAATAATTTTCAAAAAAATGTAGAACTCCCTGCAGTCACACAGTAAAACGCACGCCAAAACTCCCAGTTTTTTAATTTATAATTATTGATAAGAAATGAAAACAGAGAGTTTTTCACCCTTCAACAATTCACTACTGAAGCTAACTGATTTGCCTCTTCAATAATGTGGTCTTTCTGGACAGTTATTTGGAAGGAATGTAAAAGTGCAAGTAAGTTTTGCACTCTGATTCTTTGTTGACGATAAAGAGTAGATGCTGTCTAAATTCTTTTGATTCCTGTAAATAATGTTTTAATATTTTGATGTTGGTTCTTACTTCACCAGAATCAGTTAACTTAGCAGAAGATATGCTGCCGTCTGAGAATGAATATTTCCGAAACAGCGTATTCTTACACATTGAACAGTAAACATCCATCTTCTAAACTAAAGTGACCATGAAATCCGTTCGAACGGATGTTGGGTTGACTGAGATTTTCTGTACAATTCACATGAGACGAACCGATTCATCAAGCAGTATTCCGAAAATCAAAACAATTGTCGCCTTTTACTTTTACGTTAAAGGGAAAAATTGGTTTCATAACCATTTCAAATAACTCAAACCTACTTGAAATAAACCTTAAAGGCATATTAACTCTATAAGTGAAAATTAAACCTTTTGTTCTATTGCCACTTTCCTTTATGAACCATTTTCTGTAGGTATATTCCAGATCAACGCCTATCAAAGTTTTGCTGTTTAAGGCCACTGAAGCTAAATGATCTTATAATATATATATTTATATGATCTATATAAATATAATTTCAGTAAAATAAATTTTATTTCTATCAATCCAATCAAATTAAGCTCAAACTGAGCTTGTTGTTGAGAGTATATTTCCGAATGTTAGTTCACATTGGCAATAATTTCTAAATATTTGAAACACTTTCGCAAGAATCTTACAACGTTGTTGCAAATTTAATATATTTTACATGATTCATCTTCGAAAGAGGTTGAACTGAATCATTTCAGAGTATGGCACTTAAATGAGTGCTTCAAACTTTCTTTTTAAAACATGATGCAATGCTAATGGGTAATGCTTTTAGAAATGCCAAGAAGTCTGCACCGATTGTACTGCAGGCTTCTCGTCTAAACTTGGCCTTTTGCAGACACCGGGTCTCAGATCGGCCGGCCTGCCTGTTCGCTGCATTCTTTCCCAATCATTCCGAAATTGTAGAGACTATAATTTTTTAACCGATGATCGTTGTTTTAGCTTTACGGTCATTTGCCAGTGACGTAGAAATCAATAGAATATGAGAGAATAACTTGTGAAAAAAACAGTCAATATGCCAAGCTAAAACGTGGTGATGAATGTTAGAATGCGTTTCGAGATTGTTCCCTTTTTTAACACATTCTTTCCTATCCAAAGAAAACGAAAGGTATTAAATTCATGCTTAAGTTAATCCACAAACTAGATGACTGAGACGATGAGAAAAAACCACAAATTAGATGACTTCGTATTCGGTTTTTCCGGAAACAAAGCGATGTAATAATGAAGTCTTAATAAAATATTCAATAAGGACAAATCGGGCAAAAAGAATTGGCAAAGCCGACGCCAGTAAAAACCTTTCTAATTTATTTATCTAAATTCTATCACCAACGATGAAGTCGCTAAAGAATACGTTCAAGTGGAATTTTATTTCCATGCTTATAACATAATAGACTTATCTA